TGTCCTCATCACCAGCCACAAACTCACCGGCCAGAATTACTTCCAATGGTCGCAGTCAGTCATGATGTTTGTATGCGGCAAAGGCAAAGATGACTACCTCACTGGTGATACTCCAGCTTCGACGACGACAGATCCGCCATACAATACTTGGAAATCCGAGAATAATATGGTTATGGCCTGACTTGTTAAAACGATGGCACTTGATCGATGGCACTTGATATTGACGAAAATTTTCTTCTCTATGGCACGACTAAGGAAATCTGGGATGCTGCCCGGGAGACCTATTCTAGTGCGGACAATATAAGCGAACTATTTGCTGTTGAGACCATTCTTCATGACTTTCGTCAAGGTGATATCTCCATCACCCAATACTTCAATACTCTTACTCGGTATTGACAGCAACTAGATCTATTCGAAGTGTATCATTGGAAGTGTCCCGAAGACTCTGTCATATTTCGCCGAATCATAGAACAGAAACGCACCTTCAAACCTATTTCTTCTCGGCCTCAAATCTGAGTTTGACCAGACTCGCTCACGGATTTTGAATTCAAAACCCCTTCCAACAATTCGTGAAGTTTTCTCTGACATACGCCGCGAAGAGAGCCGCCAAAAGGTCATGTTAGGTGCTTCCTTGTCCAATACAGCCCTCAACGGGTCTGCACTTGCTACCCATATTCCATCCACAGACAACCGCCAACGCCAGGGCCGCCCTTGGTGTGACCACTGCCGCCTCTCTATACTCGGGATACGTGTTGGCGGATTCATGGCAAACCCGCCAATGGGAAACCCAAACGGGATCATCGGGCAGCTGCCACCAGCACCACTGAAGGCTCTCTAGGAACGAGCCCATTCAGCGAGGAACAGATTCATGTCCTCCAGAAGATGCTCGGTCAGCTGTTACCAGTCCAGCCTACTAGTGCGACATCGGGTGTCACCGACCTTGTTACCATTGGCGGGTTTGCCATGAATCCGACCCTCACTGTGCGGATTGCTGATGGATCAGCTTCCAAAGTTGCTGGGCTTGGTTCTGTCCGCATCGCTCCAGATTTATTCCTCACTTCTGTGTTTCAAGTTCCTACTTTGGATTTTAATCTGATCTCATTTAGTAAGCTCACTCATGATTGTCATTGTGTTGTTAAATTTTTTACATATATTTGTGAATTTCAGGATTTGAAATCGGGGGGAATGAATGGCAGTGCTGACTTGCACAGTGGTCTCTTTTTTCTCAACAAACCCTCTGTCAGTCTAGTCTCACCCACCGGTTGTTTTCCAGTATCAAGTCTGTTGGCTTAAATCCTCTAAGTACATCTATATTTCATTACAGCGTTAATAATGATAGTGAAATCATGTTACTTCATTGTCGTTTAGGTCATCCCAATTTTATGTATCTGGGGAAGCTGTTTCCTCATTTATTTTTTTCTCTGATCCATAGTGACGTCTGGGGTCCTTCTCGTGAAAAAAAATATTTCTGGGGCCCAATGGTTCGTGTCCTTAATTGATGATCACACACGAGTGACATGAATCTATCTTATGCGTGACAAATCAGAGGTAGGACCAATATTTCGTGCATTCTATCATATGATCCTCACTCAATTTGAAAATCTAGGCTCTCAAAACAGATAATGCACGAGATTTTTTCAACACCTCCCTAGGAACGTTTCTTACTCAACATGGCATACTTCACCTTAGCACGTGTGTTGACACTCCCCAACAAAATGGGGTGGCCGAGCAGAAAAATTTTCACTTGTTGGAGGTAGCCCGCTGTCTCATGTTTACCTCATCGGTCCCTAAATGTTATTGGGGCGAGGCAACGTTGATCGTTGTCAACCTCATAAATCGGATGCCCTCTCGTACTCTAGGTTTCCGTAGTCCAATTGATGTCCTCCTTCGCTCCTTTCCAAATACTCGTACACTCTCTTCAGTTATCCCTACCAAACTATTTGGTTGCTCCGTCTTTGTTCACATTCACAAACAACACCGCAGTAAATTAGACTCTAAATCTGTCAAATGCATATTCATAGGGTATTCGACCAATAAGAAAGGCTACAAGTGTTATTGTCCTTCAACTAAAAAGGTCTATAATTCTATGAATGTCACCTTTTTTGAGCATCAATTATACTACCAAGGGTCTGTCATTCAGGGGGAGAGTAGTCGTAGTGAACAACAGCCCTGTGTTCCTTTACCAACTGCACGGGTCCCTCATCGACCGTCAAACCTCCTTCATGTCCTATTCA